GTGTGTGTTTGTGCGCTCCAGGCTCCAGAGCTGTTCACGGTGGAGAGAGCCTGGAACGCTTTGGAGGTAGCTGGGAAGAAACTGCTGGGACCACTGGGAATGAAAACGCTCGATCCTGAGTAATGCATTTAAGCTAGCTAAACGTGCACATCGCAGCTCAAAGCGTTCAGTAACAGCAGTGATGGACTTAATGGCTCTTCTTGTGTTGTCTCAGTGACCTGGTGTACTGTGGCGTCTACGATAACGCGCTGGACAATGACAACTACAACGTGGCCAGAGGCTTCAACTACCACCAAGGGCCGGTGAGTCCCTGTTACTGCAGATGGTTGAACAGCACGAGTGCTGAACAGAACCAACCAGAACAAATGTTTAACAGTAAACCTTTAATAACCATCAGATCTCTGGTAGAAAAGTCAGACATAGAAACCCTAACCACCTACAGGCTGCACTGATTCACTGTCATATATGGACACATTACCTGTAACGTGTCACACAACCTGTTACACACTGTGTTTGTAGGAATGGCTGTGGCCAGTCGGGTACTTCCTGCGTGCTAAACTCTACTTTGCAAAGAAGCTGGGAGAAGACACGTACACCAAAACGGTTACCTTGGTGAAAAATGTGCTGTCACAACATTACACTCACCTGGAGAGGTAGGCCGCTGTCCCCTGCACCTCTGATGAAACGACTGCTGTTCTTTACTAACCTGTCCCCACCTGTCCACCTCCACCAGGTCTCCGTGGAAGGGTCTGCCAGAGCTGACCAATGAGAATGGCCAGCACTGTCCATTCAGCTGTGAGACCCAGGCCTGGTCTCTAGCCACGGTGCTGGAGGTCCTGTATGACCTGTAGACCAGAGGGCCACCTGCTGCTCATCGCCAGCCAATCACAACACGTTCTGTGATTGCACCCACTCAGAAAGGTGGACGAGAGGGTCAGTGTGGATGGAGTCACACTTTCTTTTTTCGAGGGGGGGTCCTGGTAGCATTTCCACATAAATACTGCAGCGCTTAAAGTGTTTACTAACCAGCCTTGATTGCATTTGTTTGTAGTTGAGTTTGCAAGCTAAATAAAAGAGAAGGTCCCAGAAAGCTGATGTAGCTCATATTTCCTGTGTTTCCCATATGACCTGAATGCAGCACATTTTAAAGTCCAGTGTTTAGACCGTAGCAGCTGCTAACCTTGATAGTGTGGTGAACGTTAACGTGTGTAATCCTGCAGACATGACCTTGGTGTGGATGGTAGGCGCTGACTCACAGGGTTGGTGTAAAACCATTATGAGCCACTGGGCACTCTGTCCCCACAGCAGTTATTTTAAATAAAAAGATGTTTTTCTTTGTGGGTCATTGCTGTTCACCAAGGCTCATGTTTGCTACTGAAATCTACTGTGTGCTTTTATCCTGTCACAGCGTCCTGTCTCCTGCCCTGCACTACGAGCTGTAGCAGCACTGGTAGCGTGTTAATGTTGGTGTGTAGTTTAGCTTCTCTATGGAACAGAAACCCTCCAGCCTGTGCCTTTACTCCTCTGTCATATAATACACTTCATATGATGCAGTTAGTCTTTCTGTACCACTAAACATTCACACTCAGCACGTAAGAAGTGAACAACAAAGGTGCTATTGAGATGCTGGTAACATCCAGTGTACACATAAAAAAATTCAAGCTACAAATATCCTTAAACCTGTAATAATGAAAAATGACATAGTATTGAACAGACACCAGCTGAAATCTCAGTAATTAGAAAGCATTTCAAATCAATATCAGCTTGTTCAGGCTCATCAAATATATGTAAAATTAAATTTAAGCTCTCTTGTTACCAAGGTGTCACACAACATATATCCAGTGTTGGGACGGTTACTTTTAAAGTGTATTCCACTACAGATTACAGA